TTTAAGCAAAATCAAATTTTTAATTAAAAGGTGCAATTTTTACTAAGTCTATATTTGGTTCCAAATTATGTTCATCTATATGCATAGATCATTTAGCATTTAGTTCATTATTTGATTATTCTACATGTTTTTAGACAATACCAGTTTATTTACCCTTTAATGATGTTTTTTGTTTGATAAGTTTAAGGATTTACTGTTGTTCTGTTGCTGTGAAACAGGAAGCAAACAAGCTTTGATATCATTGTCAGACAAGAAGGATCTTGCATTGGTTGGAAATGGACTCCAGGAATTAGGGTAGTTATTATTATAAATAAGAATTTTTTTGTTCATTTTATAAATGTTAGAATATTATTATTTGCAATGATTATTCTGTATTTGAATATTAGGTTCACTATTGTTTCAACTGGAGGAACAGCTTCTGCATTGGAGCGTGCTGGAGTGGCTGTTACTAAAGTTGAGCAACTTACTCATTTCCCTGAAATGGTGAGTGTACTTGTAACTTGATTCGGCTTTGAAATCTCGTTTAAATTCGGTCTGTGTGATTTTTAGCAGAATTACTAACAATGAATGCAATGGCTTTTCTACACAGCTCGATGGCCGTGTCAAAACTCTACACCCTAACATACATGGTGGCATACTTGCCCGAAGAGACCAAAAACATCATATTGATGCTCTCAGTACACATGGAATCGGCAAGTTATTATGTTATCCGCTTTGTTTTTACCTGTGTTGTCAAATAGCGGATGCTGCATAGCAGAATTTGAACAAATCTTTATTTAGTGCAAAGCGTTAGCAAATAGCATAGCGGTGCTGTAGTAAAATAGTGTGGTCGTGAACTTTTGATTTAGATGTTCCGTTGCTTTGCTAAAAATATTCCATTTCAGGTACTTTTGACGTTGTGGTGGTGAACTTGTACCCGTTTTACGATAAAGTTACATCAACCGGAGGCATTGAATTTGAGGATGGAATCGAAAACATTGACATTGGTGGTCCAGCTATGATCCGAGCTGCTGCAAAGGTTGTTTATTTGACTGAAAATTTCATCTTTTTATAATATGAAATGATTTCGTCATTAAAAAAAGTTATGTAAAATGGTTCAGAAAATGTTTTGTTGGCTTAATACATTGAACACTAGCATATAAATGACCCTTGTTCATTGTATACTGTCTTTTGTATTTGCGCAGAATCACAAAGATGTTTTGGTAGTTGTTGATACGGAAGACTACGCCGCGCTTCTGGAATATCTTAAAGGAAACCAAGACGATCATTTCAGGCTAAAGCTTGCATGGAAAGCTTTTCAGCACGTTGCTTCGTATGATTCTGCAGTGTCAGAGTGGCTATGGAAGCAAAGTGTGGGAGGTACCCTACTTTACTAGTTTATGTTGAATTATGATACGCGGCAGTTACATAGGAGAAAGAAATGTCTATTGTACGAAAATGAAAAATCAAACGTGGATGATTATGCAAAGTTAACAAAATAAAGGCTGACTAGGTAACGATTCATCGGAATGGGTTCTGGATTCATTGTACTGAAACGAGACTCGGTGATATTCATGTCTAAAATAGGTTCAATTTTGTTTCAAACCGAGATACAATTCCCATGAATTGCTGTATAACTCAAGAACTATTAATAATAGTAATGTGCAATATAGATTGACGTGGACTCTCATTTCATTTACAGATAAATTTCCTCCTAGTTTGACAGTGCCACTTTCACTCAAAAGTTCACTCCGTTATGGTGAAAATCCTCATCAAAAAGCTGCATTCTATGTTGACAAAAGACTCGCCGAGGTCAATGCCGGTGGAATTGCTACAGCCATCCAACACCATGGAAAGGTGCGAGTCGGCTACTAATTACTTTTATCTAAAAGTTTAGAGTTTCTTGTGTAAGTTAATGCCATAACATTTAACGTTCTCGTGCAGGAGATGTCATATAATAACTACTTGGATGCTGATGCTGCTTGGAATTGTGTGTGCGAGTTCAGAAACCCCACGTGTGTAGTTGTGAAGCACACGAATCCTTGCGGCGTAGCGTCACGCGATGATATTTTGGAAGCCTACAGACTCGCTGTTAAAGCTGATCCTGTCAGTGCATTTGGCGGAATTGTAGCTTTCAATGTGGAAGTTGACGAGGTAATTATAGTCTATTAGGAATCTTGCGAATGATATACTATATTTCTTAATACTAGTTTTTATATGTTTTAGGTTCTTGCTAAAGAAATAAGAGAATTTAGAAGCCCGACCGATGGGGAAACAAGGATGTTCTACGAAATAGTGGTTGCACCCAGCTATACAGAGAAGGGACTTGAGATTCTTCGTGGAAAGTCGAAGACTCTAAGAATTCTCGAAGCGAAAAAGAACGAAGCAGGAAAGCTTTCACTCAGACAAGTTGGTGGAGGGTGGTTAGCTCAGGATTCTGATGACTTGACTCCACGTGACATCAATTTCAACGCAGTCTCAGAGAAGACTCCTCAGGACGGTGAACTTCGCGATGCAGAATTTGCATGGTTGTGTGTGAAGCATGTCAAAAGCAATGCTATTGTGATAGCTAAGGTACAATCTGCTACATTATGCAACTCTTTTATGATTCAATGAAGCTGGTTTATGAATGTAATCTCTCTGTTAATTTTTTGCAGGACAATTGTATGCTAGGTATGGGAAGCGGACAACCGAACCGTGTCGAGAGTTTAAGAATAGCAATGAGGAAAGCTGGAGCTGATGTTAAAGGAGCAGCCTTGGCTAGTGATGCTTTCTTCCCATTTGGTAAGTGTTGATGGCAATACAGTAACTCATATTTTATGCTATAATGTGAACATGCGTTTGTGGTTAGGGGTGGCAAATGGACATACCTGCCCCTGTTTAGGTCCGCCCTGCAAACAAAAAACGAGGCGGGCATAGTTGAGGGTGTGCGGGCCTAAAAATCTTGGTCCGCTTCGCGAAAAATGAGGGTGGGGGCAGGCATGTGGGCTTTGCACCCCTTAAGATTAAAAGTTATTGAAATTTTTGTTAATGCCCGCACCTGCAAAGAAACGGGGGGGACAAATAAGAGTGTGGGGGCCCGAAACCTTAGCCCGCCCCGAGAAAAAACTTAGAGAAAACTAGTTTTTCTTTTGTTTTAGTTGTTAATCAGAATGTGTCTTGATTTATAAACAGCTTGGAAAGATGCTGTGGAAGAAGCATGTGAAAGTGGAATTGGTGTTATCGCAGAACCAGGGGGAAGTATAAGAGATCAGGATGCTATAGACTGCTGTAACAAGTATGGTGTTTCACTACTCTTCACCAATGTGAGGCACTTCAGGCACTGATTCAATATTTAACTAGTGCTTTTGAAACCTGTTTTTGACATCAAGTAGCGGAATTTTATCGGTTTTTTAAAATAGTGGCTATCATGGCACTAATGTAGCGGAATTTGAACAAATAGCTAATAGTTATTGTTCTACGATTCGCCACTTAGCGTTGTTGTGTAGTAGAGTTTGAATAAATTGTTATTTTCTCAATCTGTGATTGACAATATTGCATTTAAATAGCAATATAATGCTCTTCTTAATTATGTTTTGGTAGCTTTTTGTTCTGAGAATTGTGTGATGTGGTATGAAATCTTCTGCAATGACATGATCAAATTAGACAGCATTGTTGCAATTATAAATTTGTTATGTTACATTAAGTTATTGAGACTAATCCTTTGTTAATCAAAGTTAATGGTGAAAGTAAAAGTTGAAATCAATACTCCGAATGAACTAGATATCAAGGTTTATGATTTCATAGAAAGCCATCAATGGTCCATAATCTGAGACAACTTGTAGAGCAAGTTACTATATTGAGAACAAAGACGACACACTGGCTTGGTCAAACATTGATTCTGGTGATTTGTCTCTGAAGGAAGTTTACATGTTCATATCTCATTATTCATCTCAAAAACGTTGGGCCAAGTCTATTTGGAGTAAGGATATCTGTCCTTCAAAATCTCAAGTGGCTTGGAGGCTCATGCATGAAAAATTACTAAAAGATGATAACTTAATGATGAGAGGCTGCAACTTTCCCTCAATTTGTAACCTCTAACTTCACTTCCAAAAAACCTTTTTATTCATATTCTTATATAGCCTTTATGCAATCAACATTTGGACATAGTTCTTAGAGGTCATAGATATTAATCTGCATTTTGACTCTAGAGAATATTTGGAAGCCTTGTGATCCAAGCCTCCTAGCATTATTTGGTTGGTGAGAAATTGAGCAAGATTCAAGAATAAATTGATCAATTTGAGGAATGCCGATGTTTTAACAATCAAGTGTCTACCAATGCTTCCACCTCCATAGTAATGACCAAGTATAACTTACTGATTTGATTTTATGTTTGACTAAATAACCGTGTATTGTTTTCAATTTGTTTCATATTTTCCATAGCAAAATAATCAATAAAAACTATATTATGCACTTAAACAGATCCTTGATACGCAAGAAATTATATCAGTTGTAGCTATTTATTCATTGATTAAGATGAAATAGGTCTTCGATTTACAGTCACGTGTATTAGGGGAAGTTATATCGGATGTATAATCTAAATTGGTGCAAGGGTTGTGAGTAAAAAACATCAGACCAATTAGAAATGAAAGATTAGACTCAATAATGAAATGAAGGACAAGACTCAATAATGAAAAAGAAAACCCATATACTTGATTTTATGCATTATGCTGGTTGTAATTGGCGATAACTTGATACTTTGATTTTATGCATTATGCTGGTTGTAATTGGCGATAACTTGATACTTTGTGCTTAACAAACAAGCCAATTGATAGGTATAACTTGGTAAAGAAAACTTAAACCAAAAAATCCAGTGAATTAAGATAAAATGTGACAAGACCAACTAAAAGACTAAAGAAAAACATAGCATTAAATGAGTCTAATACATAAGCCACTCAGTAACTAAAATCAAAATTTCACATAATCTTTTATATCATCACATCTCTCAAAAACATAAATAAAAACTAGAAGCAGATGACAGATCAAGGAGCAATAACAATCCTTCCGGCAACCTGGTCCAAATCCCTCCTTCCATTGGAGGTGATTTTCCTGCCACTGAGATTAAGAAAAACTTATGTTAACAATATGAAACAAAGATACACTTGTGCTGATGAAACATTATCAAAGTAAATGTCAATCACAGTATTACAATTCTCTCGACTAGCATCATCTGCTGCGGCTTTAACTCATCTACTGATAGTTCTACGACAATGTAAACTATATACAACATTACAAGGTCGTTGTGTTCTTACCCCTTGGTGTCCATTTCAATGATGTTCATGTTCTGCAACTGTTGAAGGATGTTTCGGGCAATGGAACCGCTGCTCTTGCAGAAATGAGGTGGGCGACTGCCGTTCCTCTGGCTCCCACCATATATCCTCTGGAATGCACCAACACCAAGTCCACCCCTCAAGTAGATCTTCCTTGCCATGGAAGCTGCAGCACAAAACATACATACAATTGTAATTCTCAACAAAAAATACAACTAGAAAGATCCCCCTACAAGTTGTGTTAACAAATTTTGCTAATAACCAAGGAAAATGCATATTAAAATGGCCAAAAATACTCACCAGCTCTGATATAGTACCAGTCAGGATCATAAGGAGCCAGCTCCTTAAACTTGGCTGTCTTCACAAGGTCTGTCCACTCGGGAAGCTCCATCTGTTCATAATCAAATAACAAAAACAGATAATAAATTAGAATCAGATTAAGATAAATCAACTCTTAAACTTCATATATTGAAGATAAAACTTCAATAGACACAACAAGCACACAGTCATCTCATTCATAGCAGAAAAAATTAAAATTAACATCAGTACCATTTAATACAGAAACTTAGTCATTACTTAATCGACAAGCCCAATAAATCTTGTGCACTATAAAAACAATCAAAATTAACTAGAATATTCTTTTCTTTATGGAAAAAAGCAAGATAAAAACCATACACCTAACCGAGGTTTTAAAAACATTCCTATACTGCAAAAACGCAGCGTCAAAACAATACAATTTCAATAGGTTAGGTGTCAATGTAAACAGATTATGTGATGAAGAACATGTTGAAATTAATTTCCACCACGATGGCCGCAATTAATTTCGCAACACCAGAACCCACCAAAACAAAACAGGGAAAGCCGGTTGTTTAAAACCATGCACCTAACATCTATAGTTTTCGGCTACCAATTCACATCCATTGCCATTGATAAAATCATCAAATGCATAAAAATACAAATCTATACAAACTCTGATACAGAGTAGATCAAGTTATGAACTTTAAACTAACCAAACTCAAAACAAACCATTTATACCACAAAACCACAAATCGAAACAATAGAGCACGCATTCAACAACAAATTCCATCAAGCAAATCGAAAAATAAAACGTGAGGAATTATAAGCAAGTCAAAACACGTTTTGGGGAAAATTGAAAAGCTAGACAAGATTTAAGACGGATTGATTAACCTTGCCAGATCGTTTGAGATGAGAAGAGTAGGCTTTGACGAACTCATGTGGAGAAACGTCTTTCACAGTCCTTGCGGTAGCCATAGTTGTTGTGCGGCAGCTTCTGGAAACGCTGATTCCTCTTGAGCTTCTCTCTCACTGTACTGAAACTAGGGTTTCACGAGGCTCTGGAACGAAAATTTTCTCTAGCTTCAATTTTATTGAGAATTTGACCCGATCCAATTGGGTCTAGGTTTGGGCTTAGGTTTAGGATTAGCCCATAATGTATTATTGGACTTGGTTTAGCCCATATTGGGTTATTCTGTTTTTGTTTTCTTCTTTGAAAATACTTTTTTATTTTATTTATGTTTTTCCTTTTTTTAAAAATATTTTTGGAAGTAATTTTAATATGAATTTGCAATTTTATTTTATGAGTTTAATTATGATACACATCGATTTTATATTGTCGTGAACAACTTATGGCTAATCATATAACATTAAAAGGATGAAAGTTTAATATTTCATATGTTAACTTTAAAATTATTTTGGTGACGTAAAAAAATATTAATCATTTAACTTTTTAAAATATCAATTTTTTGAGAGGCTCTGTGTAAGAAGGTGAAGTTAGTTTTAGTCAAGGCATTCAATTTTTTCATTTAAAAAAGTTGTCATGTCCCAATCATTAAGTCTAGTAAAACGCAAGGTTAAAAACTAAGGGAGCAGAGCATGATAAATCCACCAAGGTAATTCAAGACATTACTCGTGACTCCCTTTGAGAAAACTAATAAGGTTTATCAGACGCATCCTACAGTCATCCTTATCTCACGATTTATCTTCACATCCAGTTACAACAAACTCTCTTATAAAAGGAGACTTAACGTGTTATTTTCAAGTATTTTCACTTCCATTTGAAATTTCGTTATTTAGTTTCTGCATTAACTTGAGAATTGGAGTGTCAACTTTGCAGGTTAGCTCCATCCATTGCATCAAAATCAAAGATTAACTATAATACAACGGTCAATTCAACATATTTGATCATCATCTTATTCTCACGCAGTGCATTGGCACCGTCTGTTGGAATTCAATAAGATATTCTTACGATTATCACGATATTGTCACATTAGATCTAGGTCTTGTCCTCCTAGAGTTTAGATATGCATTCCAAGTAAAACTCTCTAAATTTGGGACCAAATTCATCTCACCAAAGTCATCAGGCAATGGAACCGTAAAAAGTTACCCTTTCTGTCGCTTAGCAACATGCCGCTACGACCACTAGAGTCACATGCAATCGTCTTATGTCTACTTCCCACACTCTCCAGCTAAATAGAATGGTGTCAAAGATGATCCAAATAGTTGTTCAACATTCTCCACTCTTAGTGAATGCCTCACAATTCCATGTAGGCGGACCATCCATCCGACCGGATGCACCTTCTATAGCCACGAGAAGTGAAACACTTCTTAGTTTCTAACTTCTGGAATCCGAATTAGGATTGGAGGTAGCTTATGAATTATTGAATGGTATGTTTATGATGATATAAAAATAAAACTTCCAAGCCATTGGGGCAAGCTCATTCGAATAGAAGAAAGCTTACAGAATGTCGCACCAAAGAACCACATCGTCTAATAAGTAACTTCATAGAAAATTATGGAACAAGCAAAAGATTTGGAAGATTCGTAGAAGTCTCTGGGTCATTGGGATCGTGGGCATCACATAACTCCACTCTCTCCTAAGGGGAGAAATGCCAAGCAGACCCCTCTAAAAGCATGTCAGTCAGCAAGGAAGGATGTAAAGGAAGAAGCCACTTCGGCTCCATCGAAGAAGAAGAATCCTCTAAGCACTCACATTTTGGAAGGAAGTATCCTACCATCCTTAGAAAACCCCCTCAAAGTGCAAGATTACAACAGAAATGGATACCCCGAGGAACACGTTGAGCATGTACACAAGACCCAAACGTTCAACACAATCAGCAGCAATAAAACAATGAGAAGCACCAGTGTCAATAATGGCAAGTAAGGGAGTACTATTAATGAAACAAGTGCCTTCAATGAGTCTGTCTTCGCTGGATGTCTGAGTCCCAGATAGAGCGAACACCCTTCCACCAGTTTGTTCTTTCTTAGGCTTCTGACACTTGTCACGCAGGTGTCCCTCTTTACTGCAGTTGAAACAAACCATCCCCTTGCGCTTGCACTCGGAAATAGCATGTCCAAGCTCACTGCAACGGTAACATCTCACTGGTCCAGAATTACACATATTACTCTTGTGACCAGGTTTCACACACTTATAGCAAACAATACTAGCAGGAGCATCTCCCTTACTAGTTTTCTTGTCATCAGTTGCTCTCTATTTCCCTTTGCCCACTGGAGGATCATAAGGCTTCCCACGATTCTGATGTGACTTGCCTCTCCTCTCACTCAACAACTTGTAATGAGCATTGCTATCTTCTTCATAAATTCTACAGCTTTCAACCAATGAATCAAAAACACGGATCTTCTGATACCCAATTGCTTTCTTGATTTCAGACTTCAATCCGTTCTCAAACTTGATACATTTAGAGAACTCAGCAGTTTCTGCGCTGTAGTGCGGATAAAATTTAGCCAACTCTTTGAACTTCGCAGCATACTCAGTAATAGATTTGGCCCCTTGCTTCAGTTCAAGAAACTCAATCTCTTTCTTACCACGAATATCTTCCGGATAGTACTTCTTCGGAAATTCCCTACGGAATACAGTCCAAGTGATCTCTTCACCTGCAGCCTCCAATACCGGACGGGTCTCTAGCCACCAGTCATCAGCTTCGACTGCTAGCATATGGGTCCCATAACGAACCTTCTGTGTTGGAGTACAATCTATCACACGAAAGATTCGCTCCATTTCCTTCAATCAGTCCAGTGCACCATCAGGATCATGCCTACCCTTGAAGGTAGGTGGATTCTCCTACTGAAACATTGCCAAACTGCGAGACCCAGCATCTCCAACAGGATTCGGCTGATTTTCCATAGCATTAGCTATAGCTTGCAGAGCAGCAGCAATTGCAGCATCATTCCTTCCAGCCATTTCACTTAAATTGCAACAACCAACCGTCAGATCTCACAAACAACAATACTCTATTGCTAGACACGACGTCTGACTCGATAACTCAGTCGGATGGAACGACCTTGCTCTGATACCACTAATGTAACACCCCATTCTAACCAAACGGATAAATAAGAGAGAAAAAACAATCAGAGTGCACCAATTAGAGCTAAATGACGATCGTAATGGAGCTGTCACGACCGAGATGGTCATGACGGTCGTCATTGAACTGTCACCACCGTGATGGTCATGACGAGCGCCATGGAGTTGTGACGGTCGTCACACTCAAAAAATCCGAGCGCATCAGAGATGTCACATTTACAACTTAACAAACAACACACACCTGCAAAAGATCATTTAGTAACATACATAGCACAAAATCAGATGAACAGACAACGATAACTTGCTTCACATCTTCATTATAAGACAACCTGTTATTTCGCAGCGGAATTAATAAACTTTCAAACAACTCATAATAAACCAAAAACAAGGCAAGAAAGGTTTTGCATCTAAACTCCATTAAAAATTCAGCAAGTAATAGTCTTGCATAAATTCACTAAAACAACTAATTCCAACCATAAAAATCAGCACTACCGATTCATCGATTTAGTGCACCAACATTTGGCACTCAACAGAGGCAACCAATTTAATGAAAGGTACTTAATAAAATTCAGCAACAAGGAAATCAATTAAAACAATAGAATTAATCGTTCACTCCCCCAAGAGTGCTACGTATTAGAGCGACCAACGACACCTTAAACGAAAAGCGACACTTTATTCCGGGTTACCTACAAATTACCACCAACGGAGGTAACATACAACGTAAAGGGTGAGGTATCAAAATTATAACACAAGGCATGATAAAAGTCATGTCAGGATCATATCACAACATTATAATTTTCGCAGTTTTCCAAATATTATCGACAACAAATGCTAGGAATTTATCATTCATATCCACAATAATTAGCAAGAAATTTCAGCAATTCATCCTCACTTGCAACCACATAACGACGCGACATTATGCGACTCAACTATGCATATGCATGTGGTACCAATTTGGAGCAAAACTCCACAACCAATTTATTCGCCATTGTAGGCCGTCAATACAGACACAACCACGTCAATACAGGCCAACCAGGATGATATGCTATGAGATGCATCTATTATGGACTACACACAACAACAACAACCACACAACAAAGCATTAAGCCTACAACCAAATTTTCCATAACCGAAGCATCACAATTTCATACGAATCATGTAACCACAATTTTCCATCAAATCAAGTAAGAACACAATAACAACATCCTCTCAACAAGTGAAAAATAGCGCGTGTCGGCACCGTTTCCAAATATTTTCACACAGAACTAATGACATAAAAACTTTTTCCGACACAGGCAAGCATCATCTCTAATATTTATCAACCCATGGAAACTAACCCTATGATTCAATTCTCTTCATGAAATTGATCATACCCATAGTTATAGAATTGAACCCCACCCTTACCTTTGGATTGAGGGGAACTCTAAACTCCCGGTTCCGGTTCTGCTCTCCGGTGACTCTTCTGCAACTACCTTGAATTCTCTCCGGTGGTTAATTTCCTCTGTTCTCAACTTCTCCCAGCCACATTCTTTTTCCTTTTTGATTTATGTTTCTACTGTTACTAGTTTTCTCCACTTAGGTTACTAGTAGTTAAATTATTTTATTTTTTATTTTTTTATTTTTTTATTTTTGTTAATTTTGGGCTTACTAGTAGCACCACCCTCTTTTACTATTTTAATTACTAATATTTGGCCCACTTAGATAGTTATTCATCAAAATCAACTATTATTATTTTTTTCTCGTTCCTTTTTATTTAATTTCACGCTAACAGTAAAATATCCCAACTAAAAGAATTTTACCCGATACACCCGAATACTACCACAATACGACGGGCGCGACCAACAATTCATAAATAAGTTAATTTAAAATAAACGGGCGTTACATATATTGACCGATTCACCAAAGTAGCAATAGTCGTTGAAAGAATAAGCTT